AGTAAAAAGGCAAATAACATCTTAGTACTTTTATAGAAAGTAAATAATATTACAGGACTTGTAAAAAGATCTCAGGGAAGCCCCAGGGATCCTTGGACCATATTTTGAGTACTGCTACTTTCTTTTGGCAACCTTGGACCATATTTTGAGTACTGCTACTTTCTTTTGGCAAGGATGGCATCCACCGCGCCTATATAAAACAAACGTAATAAATCTGAGCAAAACACAACTCAAAAAATACCCTCTTACCTTTGCCGAGACTAAAAACAAATGGTTCGTTTCTATCATGACTGGAGTCAAACTTCTTTCCATTTGATAACTTTCCTTTGTAATGGACATAAACTTTGTCTCCAATCATTGGCATTTCCTCACTGCTTCCCTCTCTTTTGACAATCTAGAAGAGACAACATCAAGAAAAAGGAAGTGAAACTTCTTACTTATAATCAGAGAATGAAAAGGTCACACAGTGCATCCCAAGACACCCAGGCGGATCTGCAAATATACTACCATCCATCCTTTCCAAAGGCTTCCTTCAGAGTTCTCGCAATAACTCTCACTGTTAGAAAACTGCCCTTTACTAATCTGTTTTATGTTATATTTAATTTTATTCCTGATCACACTATTTATTCTCTCAAAAGAATTAACCAACAAATCCTGCTTCACTGGGTTGATGCCTTATCCTTTGACATTAAAATCTCTCAAAACACAAACTTGTGAGATAGTCCATATACAGTCTCAGACATAAAGATTGGTAGACTTTTAGAAATACTCAAAAAGAAGTCTAAAGCAAAGTTTCAAATGTGTGATTTTATCTATTTCCCTCCTTCGCTAAAAACACTAGCTGCTCGCTAAAATTGGCTAGTTTGGTTTAATTTCAGAAAGTCCATTTCCTGGTATAAGTTTACACTTCCTATTATTTGAAAAATACTTAATCTGTAAAAAACATTAGCATTACCGCACAGTTTAATATGATATCAGACAACTTGTTTTCTAGTAAAGGAAATACCAAAAAAAGTTCCAAACTGAAAAGTACTGTATTAGCTATTGTAAAATCCAGTATATTTATTTTGTTCTCGGCAGAGCAAGTTGCTAATGAAGTTGGTCAGTTCTGGGAAAAGTAAATCAAATCAAGGTGTGTAGTGGTCAATTTAGTCTATTGATCACCTTTGCCAAATGAATTATTTTTAGTAGATTTTTTTCTTTTTTTTTGAGACGGAGCCTCAAGCTATACCCCTGGGTAGAGTGCCATGGCATCACGCTCACAGCAACCTCCAGCTCCTAGGCTCAAGAGAGTCTCCTGCCTCAGCCTCCCAAGTAGCTGGGACCACAGGCACCCGCCACAACACCCGGCTATTTTTTTGGTTGCAGCCATCATTGTTGTTTGGCGGACCCGGGCTGGGGATTCGAACCCGCCACCTTAGGTGTATGTGGCTGGCGCCTTAGCCCCTTGAGCCACAGGCGCCGAGCTTATTTATAGTAGATTAACAGTAGATGGTAGCTAACATCTGATGGACATTTCTTTGGGGGAAGGGTTTAAGTTTTTATTAAAAGAATGCTGGCTAGGCACCTATAGCTTAGTGGCTAGAGCGCCAGCCACATACACCGGAGCTGGGGGGTTCGAATCCAGCCTGGGCCTGCCAAACAACGACAACTACAACCCAAAAATAGCTGGGTGTTGTGGCGGGCACCTGTGGTTCCCCTGTGGTCCCAGCTACTTGGGAGGCTGAGGCAAGAGAATGGCTTAAGGCCAAGAGTTTGAGGTTGCTATGAGCTGTGACGCCAAGGCACTCTACTGAGGGTGATATAGTGAGACTCTGTCTCAAAAAAAAAAAAAGTATTCAATTATTTTCTTCAAAATTGAGTTGTATCCCTCTGCCTAACATAAACACTATGAACTTAGATTCCACAACTTTCTTATCCAAAAGCCCAAATACCTTTTTTTTTTTCTCAGACAAGAAGGTTCTACTCTGTCACCCAGACTACTGGAGTATACTGGCACAATCACAGAGTCAAACTTCTGGGCTCAAGCAATCCTCCTGTCTCAGCCCCCTGAGTAGACAGGACTACACATACCATCATGCCTGGCTAATTTTTTAAAAATTTATTTTGTAGAGATGGGGTATTGCTATGTTGCCCAGGCTGGCCTCCAGAGATCCTTCCACTTCAGCCTCCTAAAGTGCTGGGACTATAGGTATTGGCCCCCTTACCCAGCCCCCGAACACTTCTTCTTCTTTTTTTTTTTTTGAGAAAGTCTTACTTTGTTGCTTTAGGTAGAGTACCATGGCATCATAGATCACAGTAACCTCAAACTCTT